GGACTTGTATTTATTCCCCAGCACCTGTAAATAAAATCACTTACCTTTTTCATTCGTGTTCCGTGTTTGATTACTCAGTTCCACTCATTCACCTGGCAATTCTGAGTTCATGTCAATTTTGAAAGAAACTGGACCCATATGCAGCTCTTCTATTGGGGTCATAGGCATCAATTCACTTTTTGAAGGTTAACCTTACAACCAGATATGTTTCCAAACTTTTGAAGTAAAAGAATTAACTCAGGAATACTAGACAAGGGATCTGAAATATATAGAAGAGTATCATCAGCGTGTAAGGGAAATTTATGTTCAGTGCCAAACCGATTGATACCTATAATCTTAGGGCTGTTCTGTAAAGCCACTGCGAGTGGTTCAATCGCGATTGAGAATAAGAGTGGCGAGAGTGGGCACCCCTGCCTCGTACCACGTTCCAATTCAAAATAGCTGGATAAATTACTGTTAGTGCGTACTGCTGCTATTGGCAATGTATATATCAGCTTCACCCATGAAACAAATTTAGGACCGAAGTTAAACATCTCCAAGGTCTTTAAAAGGTAGTTCCACTCCACCCGGTCAAACGCTTTCTCGGCATCCAGCGAGATTAAAATTTCATTGCAATTGTGACCGGGTGGAGCAGAAGTATACAACACACTAAACAAATTGTCTTTAATTTTAAAAGTTTTTTCACACGGTCACATAAGCTAATCCATTGAGCACATATTGATCTCCTAATTGTCTGTCCTCTGGGTACGGAAGAGCTCTGCCTTTTGCATCTCTCCCTGCGTATTCTCCTCTGACCTTAGCCCAATCTTTCCCAAGGGAGGACTGCGCGGCCTGGCCTGCTTCAAAAGCATTTAATCTGTATGAATGGATGACCTCTGTCATGTCAGTTACCCATGCTTCTGGGTCCTCCTTAACTGGGGTGAGTCCCTGGATGGCCTGGTTAACCTCAGCCAAAGTCCAAGATCTGAACACATAAATATGTGGGAGTTGATCTTCACTTGTGTTAGGGTTTGCAACTTGTACCATGAGATAAGTTTTAGCTTGGTCGACATTAGACAAAAAGACTTCACCTGGACTGTAAACTTGTTTTGGTTTTGGATTTGGCCTCAAATCATGTGCTGTACATCTTTTGGGGGTTTCCTGAGGAGGGACCTGTGAGTTAGGGCTGTCAGCTTGGGCTGTATTGGGGTCAGGCAGGTGTGGATAAATATTCTTGTAAGGGGGTGGTTGAACTAAGTTATTGCCATCTATCTGTGGTTTAGTGGGGTTTATTGTCGTTTGAACTACAGGTGACCCTGTTTGTGGCTCTGTGGGGGCCGCAGGCTGTTGACTTGTGGTCTGGCTTTCATTATCCTCAGTTCTAACAAACAATGCTTTAGCCTGTTTTTTGTCCTTTGACTCCCTAATTTGTTGTCTTCTATTCTTCACTTCTGTTAACCATATTTTTGCACATTCCAGTTCTTTTTGCACTTCCTCTGCCTTTTTTTTCTTTATTCATACTTTTCTCCAGTTGCAGGGCATTAGTAACTGTCTCCCATGTGTCTACTTTCAAAGTACCCTGTATTTTATATTTGTTTTTTCATTTTCCCATACATTCTAAAGAGGTAGGCCATTTTTGCTTCATAAATTTTTCATCTGCTTGTAAAAGGATTTCAGAATGGCTAGTTTTGTTTTCCATAATTAGAGTTCTTTAA